GCTCCCTCCCTTTGCCCTGTGCAACCTGCGCGCCACCGCCGGGCGCGCGGCCAACGGGCACACGCGTCGCCGACGCACAGTTGCGGCTGTGGAATGCTGCGCACCCCACGCGGTCGCACCGCAGCACCTCTCGCCGCGACAATTGAGACGCACAGCTTTCGCCGCATTGCAACGTGAAATCGCACAAAACTCCGCCACATTATCGATATCTCCCTTCGCTCAACTGGTTTGTGTGTCTGTGTGTGTTTGCCGTATCACTAGCACTGCAAAAGCGAATTCTTCACAGCCACAAAAGAGAAAAAAGAGAGAGATGCACACACGAGACGCACTTCCCCAACGCCCCCGCAGCCACGCATCGGGAAGACGGGCGGCTGTCGGGGCGCAACAGGCCCGGCGGCAACAACTCACAGCGGCCAGCTGCGCCAGTGAAACGCACACCCGCAGCGGCAGCTCAAACGCGTCGCGTGGGCCGCACGAAGGCAGAACTCCACGGCAGCGGCGGCCACCCCCCGCCTCTGCGCCTCCGTCACGGCGGCGACAGAATAACCGCTCGCGGCCGCACTCCTCTCACACAGGCACACGCACGTGCGGGGGCGAAGAACAAAAGAGCAGCGCACACACACAGCCGCGGCAAGAGGAACGGGGCGGGCCCAAATTCCGCCGCACAGTCTGCGGCTGCTCTGCCCTCACCGATCGGCACCGAACCGCACCGCAGGCTGCGATGGAACGCCGCCCCCCCGCACACTCGCAGTGAAGCACACGCCCCACTCACACGCACCCATCGTCTATTCACTCCCGCCGCAGCGGGCGCAGAAAGCGGCGGCCGCACGCCCCGTCACTCCCACGCCACCGCAGCGGAGAACAAAAAAAAAAAGAGTCGTCGTCGTCGCGGACTGCCGGCGCCTCTAGCGGGAAGGAGGAGGAAGAAGTGGGGGCGTGCCAGCGGCACGGACAGCAGCGGTGGGAGCAAACAGGACGCAGAAACACGCAGCAGCTGTGGCGGGCACAACGCACAAACTAAACGTAGGCCGCAGTGAGTTATCCCCAAAAACAACTTTCACGAATGGAGGCCCAGCAGGCCGCCCAGGGAACAGCAAAACAAAACCAAAATATTAAATTACTTCGGCAGGTGTTTTCGTTTCTTGCACGTGTCCAGACGCACAAAGGAACTGTATATGTGTATATTCATTACCTGCACGAATAAAAACAAAACCTCTCCCCTGTTGCATGAGCCCACAGATCCCTCCCATCTTTCGTGCAGCATTCGGGCTGCGCTTCAAAGGGACAGTTACGTCAAGACCGTGCGGCACTGCAATGCGGCCGCCATCGCGCGTGTGTGGGCGGCAAAAGCAAACAAGAGGAGTGCGTTGCCCACGACTGTGTGTATAGCAGGCGACCAATGGAGGCGAAAACAAAAACAAAAAAGACCTTAGGGTGCTGTTTATTCCAACAAATCACAATCTGCAAGTGAAAATGGAATGAAAATGAGGTTTAAAAAAATAAAGGGGGCCTCCAAATGCAATGCAATGCGCGGCGTTGGACAATGTTATAAATATTGTCACTGGGGTGTCGCAAATGCACTCTCCCTCGTGCATTCAGCAAAAAGCCGCCGTGCCCCACAGCCCCAGCAATGCGCGCAGCAACAGCCGAGACACACGCCTACGCAGAGTGCCGTCACCTTGTCCTTCATCGTGCTTCAAGTCTGCACTGTGCTTGGACGCACCGGAACTGTTGCCTGGCCGAGAAGTGTCGGGGGTGTTCTTCGCGGGAGACTGCTCGGTCCCGCTGGTTGGAACAGGGCCGCTGCCTGAGCCTGCTGCCGCGTTTGGGGCGGTGTCCCTCGCTCGTGGGGCAGGCATTTCACTCCCGCTGGCTTCTTCGGGGCCAACTCCAGGTGCCCCGATGTCTGCGCCTCTCACTGGTGACACCGCAAGCGGCGGAGCACTGCTGCCGGTGCTTCCCTCGTGCGCAGCACCATCGCCACGCCCTTGGAGAGCGGCGTCGACGTCGTTGGGCTGCATCGCGGGATCAGGCCCCTTCCCACCACCGCTGTGGGTATCGCTGAGGCCTAGTGCATTTTGACCGGCTTCTCATTGCCCAGTGGCGGAATAGCGCAACTGGTGAGTGCGGCACCGCCCGGCTCAGCCGCAGGTCAGCACGCGGTTGTGCAGCAGGACGTTGGCCTCCGCCACACGATGGCTGGGCTCTGCGCCCTCCGCCCCCTCGCCGCCAAAGTATAAGTGCGAGGCCCTTTTCGAGGTTAGCAGAGTGCCATTACAGCCATTACGGTACGTAGTGTTCTTCCCACCATCGTCGAAACAGCATTCACCCTGTTGCAGCTGTGGTGCCACTCTCACCGGTGCGTTTGGCTCCCACGTAACGCATGCATCCTCATCTTCAGTAAACGTGACAGTAGAACAATAAATTACGTAGTTGCACCTCTTCTTCATTTTTTTTTTCGCTTGTGTACGACAATACCACGAGCAGAGTGCTCTCTGTGTCACTCATCTTCACACCCCTAACAAAGGCAGAGAGCTGCCGCCGTCCTTCTCCGGCACCGCGTGGATGGTCACCGTCGCCCCAGGCGTGAAGTCGTTGCTCGCAAAGCAGTACGGCTGCTTCCGCCCCAGTTTCCCCACGGGCCACTCTGCTCCTGCTCCATCGCCTCGGAGCGTCACAGGCCTCCCCGTTGTGTCTGCCACTGCCCCATTCGTTGCGGTTGTGTTCACGCAGAGGTACTCGTCCCCCCACACAGTCCGATCCAACGTGCTGGAGACTATACCAAGAAGCCCTCAGTGAGGGAATAGGACATTTACACACACAGTTTATTGTCAAGGCGGCGTCGAATGCAGTCCAACGCCCCCACCACAGACTTTATCTGCTCCAGCTTCCGAGCCAGGCTCACAGCGGCAATGTTGTATGAACTTCCAGTCTTCTTCGCTTACAGTGCAACCAACTCCTTCGCGTCGCTTTTGTACGGCAGGGAACCCGCTGCAGCGTCCTCCTCCTCACCTGACATCGGCCCAACTTCATGCACACGGGCATTGTCGGTAAACTCAAAAATGCAGCCGAGCCTTTTCTTTGTCCATGTTTCCCTTTTCCTTGAAGACACCGGCGCGGTGAGGGGGGAACACCTGTTTTCCCGCGATGTCTGCAGGGGTGGGGCCGCTCTGGACGCCTTCTCCTTTTCGCTCACGCTTCAGTGAGGTGCCTCAGACACCAGTAATCGGCTCGCCGCCTGCACACC